AATCAATTCTACTTTTCAGAATTTCTTAAGTTGATGTCCTATCAAATGTTACCAAATTATTGTATTGAAGCCTGAAGAACAAAAACCATTATCTATTACTTTAACTACCCATGTGTCAGTTCACACAATATTTCTATGCTCAGAGGACCTCAATTAAAATCAGTTCTGGTATTCTATAACTGTAACTGTTGAAACTTTTCTTCCAAAAGGTATTCAATTTCTATCGTCCAAAATCATCTTTAAGTGATGTTCTGACTTTTTCTAAGCAAAATAAAAGATTTATGAGAGCAATTATTCATGCTAAAGTGCATGCTACCTAATTCACACACAATCTAACTTCAGAGAAATCTTGTTGGGTTCTTCCACACACAGGTTATCTTGCCCCTCGTCGACAGGGCCACTTTGTGTTACCAGCGTTTCTTGTTTACTCGTTAATAACCTCAACAGAGAATAAGGAGCAGTCTTAAAACTCAGGGTAAAAGCTATAAAATGGGAGACGTGAAATGCAGTATTCTCCTGTGGGAAATACTCATTAGCACTGCAGGCAGTGTATGATCTACGTGTGCCACCGATATCCACCATAAATAGATGCTTCTTTTTCTGTCTGGATGTGAAGGCTTTAAAGAGTAAAGCAGTCATGAACCTACACATATGTCAGCGTTTTCCCCAAATTAACCTAACAATACGAGCCACCAGAAATGAAAATTTTCAACCCATATCCCAAAGTAATGTGTTATTAGATAACCTTGGTCTAGAGTTGAGAGGTAGTGAAGTTTTACAGTATCAGCTAGGGTCAGTCCCAGAGTTCAACAAAGAAAGAGAAGTTACCTTCCTTCTTCCCAGGAAACTGGGGTGTTTGAAACCATCACTCACATCAACCCATCTTACGTAACAGTCACTCATTTAAGGGCAGTGGTTTCCACCTGGTCTCCTTATTAGAATCAGCTGAGGATCTCTTTTTGCAAAGTGCCAGATGAACTCAATTTGCATCTCTAAATGCTGGGCTCAGGCACTGCTATTTTTTCAAAGCTACCACAGTGATTTTAATCTGCAGCCAGATGAAAAACCACTGTTCTAAAGCAGTTGTTTTGAACCAGGAGCAATTTTGCCTACACCCCACCTGGGAACATTTGGCAGAGTTTGGAGACATTTTTGTTACAATTAAGAAGGTGTCTGTGGGTAGAGCCCAGGGATGCTGTTAAACCTCCTAAAACACATAAGGCAGCACCTTACAACAAAGAATTATCTGGTCCAAAATGTCAATAGCGCCACTATTAAGAACCCCTGAACTGGAAGAAGAGTTGTTGGGAGAAACAGCCTGCTCTTTCCATCTCTAGAGACATGCTCACAAAAGAAGAAAAGAACCAGTAAGAAGATTTCAGGATGAAGACTTACAGCCCTGACACCCCATCCAGCAAGGCCAAAGTAATTCTAAACAGACCTTTTTTTAACAAAAGTGAATGATTCCCTCATGTGTGTTCTCATTGGCCAGGGTGACGTTGAACGAGGGCACAAAGCTATTGTTCACTGGAACTTGCTCAAAAAAGGCAAAGGGAATCAGACCAACCAGGATAATGAAACAACCCTGTTTTTTAAGGAAGGAAGAGGATAAACAATAAAATGAAGAGTAATGTTTCTTCTATTTGTATAACCTTCTCATTTGTTGGTAACCACCAATACATGCTTCTAGAATTGAAATCTAACTATTTTTACTACTTTTTCATCTGGATTCATAATGTCCAACAGGTGAAGTACTTGTAAGGGTCTCTGATCATCAGAATCATCTCTGTCTGGAAGGTCAACAAAAAACAGAGCTATTGAAGAACTTGAATCATCCAAGACATCCATGACCTGGGCTAAAACAGTTACCTATTTGAAAGCAAAGATCTGCCAGCTAGTATCTGAAAGCAAAACTCCTCAGTGTCACTGTGGAAGGAAACACTTTCACTTAAGAAAGTTCCACCCAAACTTGGATTTCAATGGAATCAGGAAAGTGAAACCCCCATTCTCAATAACTGAGGCTCTCATGAACATTTATAGCTAGCAGTGACGATTCAATTACTTAATCTACAAATCTGGAATACAGCGAGCAACTTGAATGAATGGGCAAATGCCTCAATGTCTAGATGTGGTAAGTGTTGAATTTACTTTCTATTTGAAAATGGAATTGTCTTCAAACTGAAAAGAAATAGTTGAATAATAACTTCTAAAGAAGTAAATACATTCATGAGGGTTTTGTTAAGTTTGGAGGATTTTTCTTATGTTTGTTTCTGCTTCTGTTGCTTTCTGATCAGCTATTAAGGAATGGTTATACAGGCTTAGAAATATTTGAGAGAGAAAAAAATACCTAAAATTCATATTTTCATTCCAGTTGGAGGTTAAACCAACCGTTTTAACCAAAGGAAGCTCTTGGACATCAAGTTCAACTATTTTATCCACTGAATTTGTAGCTGAAAGCATAAGAAGATTTAAAGACGCCCAAGGCACGGTCAACTTAAACAGCAATCTTTTTCAGTGATGGTTCCCTCAGTGTGCACATGTGTGTGTTTTTGGAGGGAATGCATATTCTTACAGGTAGTACAATACCTTACCGGGATATACCTCATCTCTGTTTCAGTCGGCCATATGCACATACACTTCCCAAGTGCTTTCACTGCTTCCTGTTCATGCAAAAATATCCAAGTGCTCATCCACAACACTCATATTTCACACCAACCCCAAACAGAATGACTCTGGAAATGACTCAGCAAATCTGCAATTTGGGATTAGCCTCACAACTGGTTCCTATCTCTTCATACACCAATGATTCAAACAAATTGCGTGGGGATTTAAAAATACGAAAAAGCATGTCTTTCCATCCATATCAAAAATTAATTTGTAATGGCAGGATAAATACAAGCTACCAATGCCCATGTTTATAGGTGATGATCCATAAACATTTCTTTGTGCCACTTCGTTTTCCAATTAATTACTGAAATAAAAATGCAACACAAATGTACCACAAATACACTCTGGTGAGGATATCAACTGTCAGCAGATCTGTCACTAAAGAACGAGAAAACTCGAAGTAGACACAAGAATTCAACTACAGTATCATTTTATGATAATTTATGTTACATCAAATTTTGAACTAAATTGTTTAAATTTTTAGGCAATATGCCATGATATAATAGCCATCTTTACTTAGAGATATACCTTACTTTATGCAAAGTATTGTTTAAAAGTTGCACCGCAACACTTTTCTTGTAAGTTAAATCATACATTGATTAAACTATAGGAGTTCTTTATGTACAGAAGCTCTTTTGTAAAGAATTGTTTTGTGAGTGAATGAACCACTTGCCCCTAAGTATTTTCTTTTTGGTTTAAGAAACAAAGTTTCCTTATAATAGTGAACACATTTACTTCTCAAGCTCATTAAAAAAGTAATCAAGAAATGAAACAGTCATTATCTTTACCTTCCCATTAAACTATTACTCCCCACCAAAGTCAAGCTTCATGGCCAATGACCCATCTCATGATAGTAACACAACCAAATTTTGTTTTCAAATGACTTTCATCTCTTGTAGAGAACTGGGTAGCCAAGGCTGCCTACAGCAATCACGGCAGCATCTCTATTGCCCATGAAAAGAGCGAAGATTCGATCGACTTGGGAAAGGCACCAGCCAGGAGGCCTCAACACAACAGGTGTATTGGCTCCTCCCTGCACCCACCTCCCAACACAAACTGAGAAAGCAGCAGCCAGCTTCCCATCTTCCCCACCCTTTCTATTTCCATTTGTGCTTAAAAGAACATAGGAAGAATTAGAAGCCAAGCTTCAGGAGTCAATTTTCAGCACTATGAGAAAGGAATTAAGATGAAATGAAATCCAACAGGTAAATCCCCAAATACAATATTGAAAATATACCCCTTCATGTCACTGCTAAAATTGGCAGCCTTCTCTACTACTAGGAGCTGGCTGCACACAGACTCCAGAACACATTTCAAATAAAGTGAAAAACCTCAGACATTTGAATGGAAAAAAACCCTCGGTCTATAAAATCAATCATTTTAGCTCCAACTCAACCATGAGTAGCATAAAAGGATTGTGGGGGTTTGGGTTTTGTTTTTGTTTTTTTTTCTTAAGAAATTTCTTTCTCTCTTAAGTTCAAAGTGGTTTCAGAACCAAGATACAGAAAATTAAGCCTCTTCCAAAAGGTTTAAAAGCTCAGGTTTAGAGCCACTTCAGCAAATGCAAATGTTATGCTTTGGAAACCAAAGGAGTGTCGAAATACCTCTGTACATTTTCAAGAGGTACATTTAAATGACCAGGAACAATGACTCTTGTGATGTAAAAGAGCATACTGTTCAGAATACGCTTAAGGGAGTTTCAGGAGAGGGTTGGTGGGTTTTGACTGAGTAGAGAAGGGAATCAGTTGATGCATTTATTAATAAATGCAAAGAAAAGTCACAGATTCAGGCCCCCAATACAATGGAAAAAATCTTCAAGGCATCCAGCCTGTTTAGGGACACCATATTTCTTTTTCAATGTCATTGTTTTTCATAATAAATACTCATCTCTTCCTGCTCCTAAGCTATTAACTGGATTCAAAACCTCTTAGTCACCATTCCACAAGTGAGCCCTACTAGGAAACACCACACCAATAGGAACATGCTCAAGTTCAAGCTGAAAGAATCTTAGAATGGTTCTATTTTTTAGCTCCAGTATCCACAGATTTCACCCTGACAACTCAGGGTCCTAAGGCATTATTGTTTCTCTCTCTTCTGTAACCCTTCACTCTCAACGTTTTCAGGATTAGTTGGCTGGTAGCTACTTAAAATAAAAACAGGTCCAGGGAAAGAAACACGCATCATGATTCTAAGTCAAATGTTTGCTTCTTTCCCCAACCCACCCCCCGAGCCAGCACCTGCACTTTCTTATATGGCCGGATAGCTCTTCATCACTCATAACCCTCTACTGAGTTGACCTAACCAAAGCAGCTCCCCAGCACGTACTGACCCACCGTTTATGCCACTGTAGACATTCCGGTGATGGGGTGACGCGTCCTCTTGCGCCTGCCGTCTAAGGGTACCCTCCCTGCTGCCTCCGCCGCTGCCTCCGCCTCCTCCACCGCCACCTCCTCCGCCACCTCCTCCTCCTCCTCCTCCTCCTCCGCCGCCGCTGCCGCCTCCTCCGTGTTTGTGATCAGGGCTACCTCCATAATGCTGTTTGAGGTGCTCCGGGCTGGTTCCCCTGGCTCTCGGGAGATGCTCCAGGCTCCCACCCAGGGCATGTTTCTGAAGATGCTCTGGGCTGCCTCCACTGTGCCTGGCGTGTTCAGGGCTGCCCCCTGACCGGTGCTTCTGGAAGTGTTCAGGGCTCCCGCTGAGCACGTGCTTGGGCAGTGTTTCTGGGCTGCTCCCTGGGTGCGGGTGCCTTTGCTGTTCAGGGCTGCCCTTGCACAAGGGTTTGTGGTGCTCTGGACTGGGTCCTTTGAGTGCTTTTGAGTGATCTGGGGTCCCAGAGGCCCTGGGTTTCTGGAGATGCTCAGGGCTGGCGCTCCTGTGCTTGGAGTGCTCGGGGCTGCCCTCGCTCCGGGGCTTCTGCAGGTGCTCGGGGCTGCCACTGCTCACGTGGTGCTTGTGGTGGTCGGGGCTGTCCGTGCTGCCGGTGCTGGAGGTGCTGCTGCCGTCACCCACATCCCGCACATAGGGCGCGGTGGAGGCAGCAAGCTGGCACAGGCTGGCCTGGCTGTCGATGGAGCAGCGGCTGCCCGCACAGCCCGTGCCCTTCTCCTCATCCAGCAGCACACACAGCTCCTTGAGCTCCATGTTCTCCTTCACCACCTCCTCCTGCTTCACCTCCAGCTCCTTCAGCTTCTGCAGGTATAAGGCCACTTCCTTGTGCATCACCCCGGCCGTGTAGCGGCCCAGTCTCTGCCACTCCCGGGACACCCTCTTGCCTTTCTGCCGGTCATCATCCAGGAAACAGCAGAGGTCCCTCAGTTCCTGGTTGTCCTCCTGGAGTTTCTGGTTGATATCCTGAAAAGAGAGATGCAACCATTCAAGGGACATACATAAATCAGGCATCATCAGGGTAAGATTTCCTGGGAGCAGGAGCGCCTGGAACCGGTGAATTCTCTGTGAGATTGGGGGAGGATGAAGACTTGTAGCTATCCATAAAAAGTAAAATAACAGGTATCGGCTATGCTCCCTGCCTAATACTTTACTTGCATTGTCTCATCTAATTTTCACCAAAATCTTAGAGGATAATAATTACTATGGTTCTTTTACAGAAGAGGAAACTGGACCTCTTAAAGCTTCACTTGTCCAAGGTCATCCAGCCAGTATTTAGGGAGCAGGAGCAGCCAGTCAATTAACAAGAAATCAGTAAGTAAAAAAACAAGGCTCTCCTGCCCCACCCTGCAGAAAGAAAGATGGCTGCCTATGAATGCTTAAAAGCTCTGAGGCAACAGGCTTTCAATAGAGCAAACAACAACTCTGTTAAGTTTTTCAGCCCTAACATGGATGAGCAACAGCCCCCAACCGCCACTAGGGAAATGCACAGTTGCCCCCTAGTGGCATTTCACTCCTGCACATCCAACCCTATGTGCCGCACCCACCTGGACATCTTGTCTTCCAGGCATCACATCTAACACAAGCAACACTGAGCCCTTGATACTCAAATCCCCCTCCCCATTTGCATCTCTCTGCAAATGCCACCTCCACTTGTCCCATTGCTCTTTACAAGAGCCTAAGGTTATCCCTGGCAACTCCTTCTCCTTCTCCTTCCACTTCCGAGCCAAACAGTCTTTGGAACTCTACCTCCAAAATTAAGTTCGTCTTGTTACTTCCATGTTTAAAACCCTTTAATAGCTTCTCCCTGCCCTTAGGATAAAGTGCAAAATCCTTCAAGTCTCACAGGCCCCAAATGCTCTGACTCTACTTCTCCAGCATGAATGGTGATTCATTTGTTCATTCATGAATATTTAATAAGCATCTATTATGTGTCAGGTACCATCCAGGTGCTGGGGATCTATCAGTGGACATAGCAAAGACCTTGACATCCTAAAGCTTTTATTCTGGTGGAAAAGAATGGCAAAAAGCAAGTATACAACATAATGTCATGCAGTGCAAAGTTCTAGAGAGAAAACTAAAGCAGGTTAAAGAACACTATTTTGCAAGACAAGGTACCTCTGCAGAAAAGGGAAATATCTGAACCAAGACCTGGGTGAAATGAAGAAGTAAACACTTCAGTGAAGATGATCCCAGGCAGAGAAAGGGCAAGTAAAAAAGCTCTGAGACCAGTGTGAGAGCAAGAGCTCAAGTGAGAGGGAGGCCAGCATGGTGCCTAAAGCACAGTGAGCAAGCCTACCAAGACTGGCTGGAGTTGGGGAGGAGGGAAGGGGGGAGTCAGGATAAGGTGGAAGCTGCAAGACCAGCTAGGAGGCTACTGGGCTGGTCGAGGTAAAGGGAGATGATGGTGGCTTGGTCTCATGATAGCAGTGGCGAAGGTGAGAACACCCGCCCCCCATCATGCACTCAGCACCACCAACACTGGCCTTATTTCAGGTCCTCGAGGGGCAAGCCCTTCCCCTCTTTCACTTGGAATGCCTTCCCCCAGCCTTCTACACAACCATCAGGTCTCATTTGATAAGTTACTTCCCCACAGAAGCTGTTCTAAAGGCAGTCTGCCCCCAGTGCAAAGAAGGCCTACTTCTATGCTCTACCATCACCCCTCAACCTTTTCTTGTTATATTTATTACAATTTGCAACCACATACATATGAGTGTGCCTCTCAGTTCAAGTCTGCATCCTCACTGGAGTCATGAGAATGGAGACTTCATCTGTTCTACTCACTTCTGTGTATCCAGAACATAGAACCTCCACTGTAGTCACCTGAAATACATAGTGAAGTCCCCACTTACTCTCTATTCGCACATACAGTCAAGGGACCAACTGTTTCCTGAAGCACTGTGGTTTGGTAGGGATGAAACAGGCCGCTATGGGGCTGCTACCTAAGACTTCCTCTGCTTAACAAAGCCTGAAAACCTCTGGTCTTGTGAAGCCATCATCCGGGCCAGAATTTGAGGTATTCAGAAAGGGGACTGACTTCTCTTAAACCCAGGTTGATTCCAACACCGCCGCTGATATTGACTAGAAGATAACGTATGAGACATCTGCTAACCTCTTCCTTCACTTCCTGACAGCCATGAGGCCTAAGATGGCAGTGAATGTGGGGCCTGAGGAGGAAGCCTATGCAGCTTAGTTTTCACTTCCAGTTCTGACTCTTGGCATAACTCTGTTCCCTTGTTTCTAATACCCACCTCTTCCTTTTGCTTCCCATTGCCACCCTCTGACTTCAGGCCTGACCTTCGCCAGCAGCCCCCAACCCAGCCTTCCTGCTGGGTCTACCCTACTCTCTACTTTCCCCAACCCCTCCAATCCAAAATAGGCCAGACTGATCTTCACACTCACTGTGTGTTTTGCCCCTCCTGCTTACCAACTCCCATCACCTCCCCTTTCCTGGGGAAAATGAATACACCCCTTGGCCAGGCCAGAAAGGCTTTCCCCTGCCTTTCCACCTTTAGCGGCCTATCAGCCAATCATGAGCTGCGATTATATCTGTGGATTCCAATTAGACAATATTCGTCTTCTCCCCCATGTAAACTTACCTGAGAGGAGAGATTCCACTGAGAAGTCTCCCCAGCATAGAACAGCACCCATGAATGAATGAATGACATAACCTTCCCACTCACTGCTTAAGGCCTATATCACACATCAGCTAGAACGCTCATTAAGCATCAATTTTTTCTCCTTTCTAATGTAGATATCTTAGCTTCTAGAAGGCAGAGTCCATTCTAAAAGTCTTTCTGTGAATATGCAACGTATCTGGCATGGTGTCTGGCATACGGTGGACACTTAATATGTGTTTATGCTCAAAAGAGGGTACAGCTATAGCTACTGAGAAAGGATTTCTTATTGTTTTCAGCGAGCCCCTACTATGTTAGAATCTACAGCAGTAAGAGAATAAATTATCCCTTGATACTGATGTTTTAGAGGAAATCAGAAGTTGTGGATATTTGGAGAAAATAATACTAAACAAAATTCATCTAAGCTTCAAAAATTATTCAACATTTTGTTTAATCCTGGCATTTGATAGAAAGCTCAAGTCATTACTTTTTTATCCAAATGAACTTCCATCTGGAAATACTTCCCTTTGACTGTCCTATAGCTATTCCTGATTTCTCCAAAACTGGAAAGTAAACAGGACTGGTGCCAACTTGAGCTTCACAAAGTTAATGTGCTTTCCAAAGGAAGTGAAACATATACTTCTCAGCATTCCAGATGGAATAGACAGGAGTGGGTATTGGGCCATTCAGTTTTCTTTATCACAGCTCCTTCTTCCTATTATTGGTTTTCTTAGGAATGAGGAACCAACCAACTTGATCATAACCTTGTGAGCCAGCTTCTTCAAAGCTGCCTCATTAAGACTTGGACTTTCTTTTTCAAAACACTAAGTGTCCTTTCAACATTGCCACAGGCCACCAGATGTTATACAAGTGTCTGAAGTGGACTTTTAAAAGTTTAAATGCACCTCATAGAATACCACCCAGAATTTCAATCTTGTGCCTGTAGACTATCAAGTACTATATCTATGGTTAAAGAGGAATTGTTTTAATTCATTCTTTTTCTTCATTGCAGGGTGGGAGGTTGGTATGTTAGGGAGCAAGGAGGGAAATTAATATAATGTAGACGACAAATCTCAGAGATTCAATTCCCCCAAATCAGCTTCCAGTGGGATACTAAGAACAGCCTGAGTGTTGGTATATACTCAGCAGTCCAAAGACATGGTTCTCAAGGATCTAATTCCTTACAACATCAGAACCTTAACCAAAATCTCCTTTCTCCATTCCTTTCAGGACCATACATTCTAAACAAAGAATACCAATGAGCCAAAAGAAAAGAAAGCCTATTTTGAACACTTTAAATCTGTGTGTCCTTCAGAAAGCTATCTAACCTCACTGGGGTTTCTTCTATATATCATGTAATGCTCATAAAACCTCATGTGGAATTAAAATCCCCCATTGAGCAAGTGAAAAAACTGAGGCTTGGAGAGGTTAACAGTTTCCCCAAGCTGCCCTAATTGTCAGACTCCAAATCCTTTATCTTTCTACCTCCTCTACACTGACCTGCCTCCCGATGTTTAAATACAAACAAGTTAGACAGTGCTGGGACACAGTCACAGTCCCCTCAGAAGAAAAGATGTTTCCATCTTCCATGTCTACAGCTACAGAAATACCTAGCAGCCTTAAAAATATTTGGATACAGTTTCAAAGTCAGCTCACAGAGAGGGGCATTAAAAAAAAAAGCATGTGGCTTTAATTACTCAATATTTACAGCACTCAAATGAGCGTGCCAAACCATCAGAGACTTCCCCCACCAAAAAAAAATCAACTTTCTTCCCTCCTTCCAGTTAATCCAAAACAAATAGATGCACCTATCATTTATTCAGTCAACCACATTTATGGATTACTATGGTGTCCAAAAGGTCCAAGGCAAGATGATGAAGAGAAGGGAGAAGGCTGGCCTGTCAACAGAGTAAAACCACAGACCCTGAGGAATAGGACGGAGGTCTTGGGGTCTACTAACTTGTAGCTGCCCAGGGGATGACATGAAAGGAGGGACAGAAGCTCCATCAGAAAGTAACCAGCCTCCATCATTTCTGAACTTGATAAGGAGTAGAACTGCAAAGTCTTTTAATGTCAAGTCATGAATCTAGACCACAAGGAGACTTTCCTACTTGGGTGCAAGTGTCCTTACCTGCCCTAATAGCTGTTTCTCTAAATGGAGCTACCGGAACGAAGACCAGGCACCCCACCACTCATGCCCGACTCACACACAGATCCTCACACACACAGTCAATCCACACGATCTAAAAGAACTTTCAAGTATTTCTGAGCTATTATGTCAGTTGATGCTCCATACTATAAAAATCTTTAAGAAATTGATTAATTGAAAACTCTTCCAAGTCACATTATGGTTCAAATCATGGAAGCAGCTTAAATTGGAGGATGACAAACTAATATCATTGTCCAGTTTTGCCTAAGAAACCCGGATCCTAGAGACTCACTGCTAACATTTATTTATATGTCCTCTCCTGATGGCAATACCTATCATTTTTGGTAGTCAAGTATTAAACCTTCCCCTACATTATCATAACTTATTATCACAACACCCTAGGAAATAGTTATTGCCATTTGCATTTTATTGATGAATAAAATAAGAATCAGAGAAATTAATTATCCAAGCATACCCTCCTGGCAAATGTGAATTCTAGATTCAAACCCACCTCTGAGATCACTTTCCCACTACACTAGCACGCTTCTATTCCCCAAAGAGCCCAGTACTTAATAAATACTACATTAGTAATGAATTAAACCAAAGGAGAGAGCAGGCCTTGGGATTTTTCTGACTGTGAGATCTCCCTACCTACACCCACTCCAGGGACAACGTAACAGTGAGTCTGGGCCTCAGAAAAGGGCCATCTCCAGCAGGACTGGGCCCAGCACACAGGTAAGCCTTCGGCCTGCCGCCCTCCCACTCCTCCTTGCCCCAGAATCCCAGAGCTGGAGCGCTGAGGCAATTAAGGAACAGCTCTACCGCCTGAGAAGTGGGGTAAGAGTGGAAAGGGGCTAAGAACAACTTGTGCCTGCGGGAATTTATTCCCTGACGTCCCTGCAGTGATTTCATTTGTGTCTGGCTTCCTATAAACAAAAGCAGAACAATGAGAGGAAGGAATACCAGGAGGCACCAGCACAAGCTGGAAGGAGAGGAAGTTTGCGGCGCACGCTGGCAGGGCGGTTCCCGGCCACCGGTCTGCTGCAACCTGGCGGGCTGGGCACGCTGCTCGCACACTCGGCGCTCTCCAGGGAGAAATATAAATTAGTGGGTTTGAGGAGACTTTCCCCCCTTTTCTTAATAGCAGAGGGAGGGCTGGCTCAAGAAGAAAGCATCACTGACCGACACTAGGAGTACCCTTATCAAAACCGGGCACCTTCCCACACGCAGTCCCTTTGCTCCACCCCCCTCTTCCATGCTGGATAAAATTTAAATCAAACTAGGGGTTAATTAGGGAGGGGAGTAAGGCAACTCTGGGTGACGCCATCCAAACTCGGGGAGAAGGAAAGGACAGGAGTTGGTGGAAGACGTGAAGGCACAGCTTAAGCAACTCTGCACCGGGTGACTCACGCCGGCTCAGAGGGTGGCGCCCCTCCCCAACCCTCTCTCTGGCAGTGGCGCCCTTTCCTCGCCCTCTGCCCGCCGAAAAGCTGCTGGCGCCAGAGCAGCCGTAGCATCGACGCCCAAAGGCAAAGATGCCCAGGACTCGCTCCCTCACCAGCCTTTTCCCCTGATTGTAACCCGGCTCCCCAAAGCACTGATTTTCCCTAAGAAAATTAAAGGTTCCGCGTGCCCATCACCTCCCTCCCTGCCTTTCAGCATCCTCAGCGTCCTCCCCTCCATCCGCAGAGAGAGCGAGCTAGATGCTGGCGCGCCAGGTGTGGGGAAGAGGAGGGGAGCAAACGCCTCCAAAGTTTGGAAAAGTTTGCAAAGGGCTGGGGATTGGGGGCAGGGGGTGCTGACTGGGAGAAAGGGGAGGATCACCTGTTGACAGAAGGAGAGAAAGTTTGCCTGGCCCCACCTCCCCGGGGCGCCCCGCTGCCCGCCCCGCCTGCCCCGGCGCTCACCTTGAGCCCGCGGATCTCGCCCAGGTGCAGCTGCAGGCGGCGGTTCACCTCGCGGATGAGATTGCTGTGGTCCAGCATCGCGCTCACCTTCTCGGCCTCGGCGCGCCGCAGGCAGCGGATCAGCTCCTCCTTGCTCCACTGCAGCAGCTCCTCGTCAGACACTTTGGACAGGTCCTCCACGGCGGCGGCTGCGGACGACCCAGCCGGGGCTGGGGGACAACTTTCCGCCGCCGCCGCCGCCGCGCCTCCGGCCGCCTTCGACATGGTATCCGCGCGGTAGCAGGTGTGAGTGGGTGGAAGAGGCAAAGCGACTCCCGAAGCGCGGGCGCGGGGCTGCCTCCGCCCACACCCCTGTGCGCTGGGGCGAGTCAGCGGCACCGCCCAGGGGCCGCTGGGTTGGGGCGGCGGGGGTCGCGCTGGGCGGCCATCCTACCTCGCCATCCCCGCGCGCGCGCCCGCGCACCCCCGGGGCCGGGCAGCCACCCGCTCGCTGCTGCCAAGGCCGGTCCCAACTCCGCGCAAGTCCATGGTGAGGGGCGCTCGGGAGCGGGAGCCGCCGCGGGAAAACCTCGAGGACCGGCGGAGCCCGCCCAGGGGCTGCACCCCCGTTCCGCTGCCCTTTCCTACGCCCTAATTCGAGGCTGTCGCCCCCCACACTCTTTCTTTCCCACACACGCACGCACACGCACTTTCCTCCCCCTTGCCCAGCCGCAGCCCCCGCCGTCTCTCCTCTCCTAGCCAAGCAGGGCGCGCCGGGCTCTGCGGCGCCCCCCGGGCTGCTCGAGCGACGCCGCCGCGGCTGCCCGAAGGCGGCCTGCGCTGCGCCCGCCGCCGCTTGGAGGCTGCTCCGGGAAGTCTTCGATTTGCAGAGCAGAGGAAGGGTGGAGGGTGGGGGACCGGCTGGAGGAGGAGCCCGGAGCCCCGGCCGCCCGCAGCCGGCAGCACCTCCTGCGCCGGCCAGACGCTGCTGCCCCTTGACCGTCGCCGGGGCCCCTGCGGAGCGCTGCCGGCTATCCCGCCCGGGAGGGCTGGGGGCGCGGCTGCTCCAGCAGCCGGGCGCGGGTGGGGCTGGAAGGGGAAGGTGCGGAGCTGTGGCGGCCCGGGCCTTGGGAGGCGCGCGCGCGCCACCGTGCGGCCGAAGAAGCTTCCTCCTCTGCCCGCCGCACTCCAGGCTGGTCACCGGGCAGGGGAGACAGCTGCCAACCAAAATGAGAGGTTCTTGGTATTTGGAGAGATGAGGGATCAGGAAAGATGGGGTAGCAGGGCTTGAGGAATAACCAGATATTTCTACTTTGGAGAATGGGAGAAAAAGCCGTTGGCAAAAAAAAAAAAGTGGGGGAGGGGAACTTAAGAATCCAAATGGTCTAAAAATGGGAAAAAGAAGCTTTAGGGACCACCCACACCCACCCCCGGGCCTTTGTCTTTTCCAAAAATCTACTACTTTGTGAAGAAGCTTCAGGGGAAGTTACTGGATCTTTTAAAATTTTATTTGAAAAATATCAAAGCCTTCAGAAGAAAATAGAATACCTTCATCTCCTGCTTCCTGAGGTCTGGATTTTTAAGGTCAGCACAGTCACCTCCCCTCAGAGCAAAGCAGGGCCCCTTAGGCGAGCTGAAATGCCAGCCACGGAGATTTCCCTTTTCCTCTGTGCAGAACGCTGCCAAGTGTTCACTGGGTCAGCTTTTTGTGATGGAAATTTCTGGGAGGAGGAACTCTGAGTCCCTGGGTTCTGTCTTTGGGCTACTTAATTGTAAAGTCAGGAGGAATTGTCTCCAAGCTGAAAACACGCGTTTTGCCTAAAGAAGTGGATGCACTTGGCCCTGAGCTTGTCATTTCTGGGATGGAGATGGGGCCAGAAGCCTGCAGGGAACTAGCCCCACCGGGGGTCAGTTAACCAGGGTGCAGAGGGAATCATCTCATTTGGTAGGATGAGATCTAAATCAGAATCCCTCCACCTGCGAGCAGTGTGTGTCCCCTGATCAAGCTGCCACCTGTTAACAGATGATCAGCTGGACACTCTGAGAGCTGGCTTCCTGGAGAGCAAGGAAAGGAGGTGCTCTGACCCAGGTGGCCTTAACATTCCCCTCAGCTTGACTAAGCTTTAGGCAAGTTTCTTCCCAACTGTAGGCCCAGACCTCCCTTTCTCCGAGCATTTACTTTAGCAGATCTTCTATTATAAATTCTTTCTCTGACCCTTTCAGATGTAAATCTCCTCCCAGCCTCTTGCTGAGTTTTATAACCCAGGAATATCTTTCTCACTTGGGAGGCATCCCTTTGAAATGTAATGGTCCAGGAAAAATAGTGTCCCCATCTTCCAGTCCCTGTGGAGGGGAGGAGCTAATTTCAATGGGTTTCGTTAGCAAACACAAATGGCCTCATTACATGGACCAGCCCCCACCTGTGTCCCCAAGTCCTTTTCAACTAGCTACCTTAACCACTCTCCTTCTTTTGTTTCAGCGGAGTTGACTCAGTCTCTCTCCCCTGTTGCAGTAGTCTTGAATGAAGCCCTCCTTGCCTATTTAACTGTACCTGATGTAATTTTTCTTTGACACCTCCCCTTCTCTCATGCCCACAGAAGGCTCTCCTCAACACAGTTTCCAAGACCAGTTTTGGCATAGGAAGGGACAATGAAAGTCAGAAAAATACGAGTCCTAGCTCTGTTACTTGTTAGTTTTTGTTCTTGAACAAGTCATCTAATCTTATTGGCCCTTAGGCAGCTAATGATACAATGTACGTGAAGTGCATTACAAGTTACCCTACAGAAATGCAACCTTATTATTACTGATATTACCTCTGAGCAGCCTCTTGTCTGGAAATAGGATCCAGGACTTCTGTTTATTCCTCCATCACAGGTTCTTCAAGAGTCCTATTCTAAAAAGCCCCCTTCTCTGCTAACTCCCTCAGATCAGTTAACACCTAAGTAGATACTAGAAGGCAGATAGATGGCTGAGAGGAGGAATTGGACTTGCATTGGGAGGACAAGAAAGAAGGAAAGCAAAGACAAAAATTCTCCGCAACTTAGATACACTAGCAGCTGCTGGATCACCTTGAGCTTTTAATGTTTCTAATTTTGGTCGTTGATTCAGGATAATTGATGAATTAATATATGTTGCTAAGGTCAGGTATGATGTCATTTAGGAACTTCGCTTGGCTGCTAAAAACAAATTCAAACAGTCACTTAAAGAAGGCATTTATTTTTTCTCACGTAACTGGTATTCTAAAAACAGGCAGCTGAGGGGTGGTCTGGTGTCTTCATGATGTCATCAAAGACTTACACTCTTTCTGCTTAGCCATCCTTGACACGTTTGCCTCATGTTCATAAGATGGCTACTAGAGTGCCAGCCAGCAATCTACACTTAAAGCAGGAAGAAGGGAAGAACAAATGCTAAAAGGCACCTGCTTTTTGAAAACGTTTTCCTAGTAATATGATCCAGTGAGTCTCATTTATATTCTAAAAGGCAGAGCTTGCCATATGACCATCCCACCAGCTACAAGGAAAGCTAGGACTTTTTTTCTTAAGTTGAGCATATTATAATAACATCACAAGTAAAACCAGTGTTGTTTTATAATTTTACTTCAAAATATTAAGGGGGTACAAATGTTTTTGTTATGTGGATACACTGTATAATGCTTAAGTCAGGGCTTTCAGTGTGCCTGTCATCAGAACAGTGTTCATTGTACCCAATAGGTAAGTTTTTATCCCTCGCCTCCCTCCCACCTTCCCCCTTTTTAGTTGCCAATGTCCTTTACATCTCTTTGTTCCCATGTGTACCCATTGTTTAGCTCCCACTTGTTAATGAGAACATGTAGTATTTGTTTTTCCATTCCTGAGAAATTTCACTTAGGATAATGATTTCTAGTTCCATCCAAGTTGCTGCAAAAGACATTATTTCATTCCTTTTTATGACGAAGTAGTACTCCCTGGTATATATGCATACCACATTTTCTTTATCAGCTCATGAATTGATGAGCACTTTGGTTGATTCCACATCCTTGTAATTGTAAATTGTGCTGCAATAAATATTCAAGTGCAGGTGTCTTTTTGATAAAATGACTTCTTCTCCTTTGGGTAGATACCCAGCAGTGTACTGGATCAGATAATAGGTCTACATTATTTCTTTGAGGAATCTCCATACTATTTTCCATAGAGGTTGTACTAGTCTGCAGTCCCACCAACAGTGTATAAGCATTCCTTTCTCTCTACATCCATGCCAGCATCTATTGTTTTTTTGATGTTTTAATAATGGCCATTTTCTCATGCTGATAGCAGTAAGGTGGTATTTCACTATGGTTTTAATTTGCATTTTTATAATGATTAGTGATGTTGAGCATTTTTTTCATATGTTTGTTAGCCATTTGTCTATCTTCTTTTTAAAAACTTCTGTTCATGTCTTTTGCCCACTTTTTGATAGGGTTGTTTGTTTTTTTCTTGCTATTTGTTTGAGTTCCCTGTAGATTCTGGATATTAGTCTTTTGTTGGATGTATAATTTACAAACATTTTCTCCCATTCTATAGGTTATCTGTTTCCTGTATTGACTATTTCTTTTGTTGTGCAGAAGCTTTTTAATTTAAGTAAGTTCCATTTATTTATTTTTGTAGATTCTGTATTTGCCTTTGGGGTCTTAGTCATAAATTCTTTGCCTAGGCTGATGTCTAGAAGAATTTTTCCTATGTTTTCTTCTAGAATATTTGTAGTTTCATGCCTTACATTTAAGTCTTTTATCCCTCTTGAATTGATTTTTCTATATGCAACAGATAGGGGTCCTGTTTCATTCTATGTATGGAAGTGCCCATCAATACATGAGTGGATTAATCAAATGTGGTATGTGTATACCATGAAGTACTACAGGGCCATAAAAAAAATGGTGAACTAAGACCTTTTGTAACTACCTGGATGGAGCTGGAGACCATTCTTCTAAGTGAAGTATCACAAGAATGTAAAATCAAACACTACTTGTACTATTAAATTGGAACTAATCAATCAACATTCATGTGTACATATGGTAGTATTAATAAAATTTAACAGAAATCAAGCAGGTGGGTAAATACATACCTAATGGGTACAATGCCCACTATCTGGGTGATAGGCACACTTATAACTTTGACTCAAACTGTACAAAAGCAATTCATGTAACCAAAATGTTTGTACCCCCATATAATATTCTGAAATTTAAAAAGAGAAATGTAATACAAACCACAAATGCAAGCCACATGTGTAATTTTAAATTTTCTAATATTTTCATTTAAAAAGTAAAAAAGCAATATTAATGTTAATAATATATCTTATTTAACCTAATGTATGTATAATGTTATTTCAACATGTATTAAAATAATTAGCATTTTTTGTAGTAAGTCTTCGA